CCACGGCTGCTGTGGCCAAAGCCTTCCATGTTACCTCATCACAAAACCCGGGAGGACACACAATTGCCTTGTACGCTACATCCATAACGGGGCTTTGATGAAGTACCTCATCCAAAGCCGTGCCTGTGCCCCTTACAGGCCCTTAGCCCTATAATACCCGTGGACACAAGGGAAGCTGACAGTTTGCACCGCGGGCTGGGGGCTCGGAGCAAAGCACACGCTGGGTACGTTCACCTAGTTCTTCGGAACAACCCCTGGCCAGATTCACAAGCCCCGAGCTCTCCTTGAGGCGAGCAGAAGGCAGGGGCGGTTTCGGTCCTTTCACCGTGGCACAAGTGGCACGGGGCAGGGAAAGGCAGAGAGAAGGGTTCACAGGAGGTGGAAACGCTCTGACCCACTGCCTGCTCCCACCATTTGCCCTTACCTGTACACGAGGAGAGCAGCTTTGGCCTCACGAGCTTTATGTCAGTGTTCCTGTTGAAACAAGAGAGGATTTTTAGTTTTTGTAAGGAAAGACAGTTACATCAGTCACACTAAAAATAAGCTGTAGCAGATTTCCAAGGTGCTAGTTTAAAAGCTGAGCCCATTACCCTTAGAGTGAAAACAGGACCTACTCTTAGGTGGCACTAAGGATGAAATAGTATTCTAGCTGTGACAGTTCAACAATAGTCTGGCAAAACACTCGGGGAAAGGCGAGATCTTTTATTCATGAAATTTGAAGAAACGGACAAGTTTTTGGAAGTACAGACTGTTCTTATCAAGGAAAATACTGTCAGACCACAGAGTTAAAGAAAATCCTCTCCCCTGAACATGCACCAGTGCAGTTAATAATTCAGCACGCTCACAGCACAGTATTAGACACTTACTGGAGGAGTTGTTGGAGACTTGTCTGCCCCATTAAGTAGCATCGGTCTGAAATAACAGGAGATAGCACCAGGGCGCTCTCTCGAGATCTTCAGATTTGTTCTGACTTCATTAATACTTTCCTATGTTGTAACATGACTATGTTGGGACATTCAACCTCTCATCAGACTTGCTGACACAAAGCAAAGGCCGTAATGGAAAATGCAGCATTACTAAGACTTCAGTGTTCTCCTTAGCGACCCCTCTATCCATCACGCTGTTACGTGTTTCTGGCCAATAACCAAAACTGCTAAAGCTCAGTGGTGTTATCTTACCAGAATCGATCACTGGAACAACGAGAAGGAGCGTCTCGTTCTTATCACGGACTGGTCCCTCCTGATCTGCAAATACAACTTCATCAGCCTGCAGTGCCAGCACGTGACGAGGATTTCCCTCGGCGCCGTGGACACCATCTCTGTAGGGGAGTTTGAGTTCCCACCTAAATCTCTGAACAAGTAAGTCGACACAGTAACACTGTAATGTCATTGTAAGCCTCGTGTGGTTATTGCAAATAGTTTTGAGCTGCCAGCCTTTGCCGCTGACCGTGGGGCCAGTTGGAGAAGTCTGCCTTTGCTCCTGGGACTTCGTAAACAATTACTGCAGCTTCGTTAGACCACCTCAGGGCAGCTGCTGTTTTGCTGGGACAGTTAGTAGTTAAGGTTAAAAGCGAGTTGCTCAAGGACTTTCAAAATGAGTTGAAACGATGTGGGAGCAGAACTTGTATTTCAGCTTCCACTTGAAGTGGCTTTTTTTTCAGACAGCACATTTCTAATTAAACTCGGGAGCCTTACCGTATTAATTCTGCTGCCTTCACCATCAGGCGAGAGGGTGTCGGTATTCGCATTCAGTGGGACAAGCAAAGCCGCGCCTCCTTCCTGAACAGATGGAACCCCTGGTCCACCAACATCCCGTACGTCACCTTCACCGAACACCCCATGGCAGGCGCTGACGAGAAGGTCGCATCCCTCTGCCTAGTAAGGACCCACCTCTCCTGTGCTCGCTGGCTTGTTGATCTCGTAGGCTGGATGCGACTCGGGTGATTGTGAAAAGATGCGGCAGTTGTTAAATCAGAGAGACAGAACTGAGGGCTCTGAGCTACATTGCCCCAGTCTCCAAAGTGTGACTCGCAGGGCAGCCCAGCTGCCCGTAAACGGGTTATACGAGAAGGAAGCTGCAACTTCCAGAGGTGCAGAGTCCTGTAAAACCCAAAAGAAAATGGATCTTGGTGCTATGCCTACTCTTGCTTACCTGACAGGCTGATGCCTGACTCTTCATCTAGGACTGCCAGCTAATTAAACAAATAGTTTAATTGCTAACTGTAAACCTTCTGTCAGGTGGTTCTCAGTTTTTCTTTCAATAGTTGCTTTCCGCTGAAGATTTCCTTAAAAACAGAACGCTTTGGTAATTTAAGTTCCACACATCAGCAGTAAGGGCAGGAGAACTACATTCAGAAATAAACATTACTAGTTACTGATAAATCTTTAGGCCTCTAGCCCATGCGTTTAAGTTTTTACATGTAAGTAGTGCCCTGGTATGAAGTTCACCGTATCAGTAAGGTTAAATGTCAGCACGTAAAGTTTATCATGGCCCGTGAGATCCATGACAACTGCAGCTTTAGGGTTAATCCTTTACAATTCAACAGCAGCAGCCGTTTGCTTGAAACTTTTAAAAACAATGGGAAAAACAGCAAGGTGATTTTTTTTTTTTTTTCTTTCAGTTGGAAAACTTTAAAACTCAGCTAATTCAAGCTGTGAAGACAGCCCATAAGGAGTGTCCGCTGCCAGGAAGGGCCAATGGCGTGCTAGTGCTGGAGCGTCCTCTCCTGATTGAGACTTACCTGGGACTGATGTCCTTCATCAACAACGAGGCCAAACTCGGCTACTCCATGACGAGAGGCAAAATTGGATTTTAGAATCCATCGCATTTTAAAATTCATTGCTTTTAATCTTTTCAAGGGAAAGTGATTTGCTGTTGGTCTCCTGGGGAGAGCAGGCTGTGGGGCAGAACACTCGCTAGCGGGAGTGAAGGGAACGAAAGGGGGTGGTTGTCGATGGAACGGCTCACGGGAGGCCCCGCTTGTTACGGTTGGGTCAGGTTAACCTGAAGCAGACACAAGGTGGTGTCATTCTTGTCCTTTGTGTCTCATTCTCAGCTCTCACTGGTTCTTACCCAGGGCTAGCGAGCAGCCGCGCTTTCCATTTCTAACGACATATTCTTCTGTTGAGCGAGTGCGATCGGTGTCTGCTGCAAACACTGCGCACCAACACGCGAGATGCAGCAGAAGGTTCATGCTGTATTGTCCCTGTATATGGTGTCAAATCATGTGGTGTGCTTGGGACTGATTTGTGTCGTTTAAAGAGGTGTTAGCGTTCACAATTACAGTAATCTTAGCATTTTGATTAATGCCTGTCAAGAATTTTGGAAGCGGTGTCAGTCATTCTTTAGCAAAACAGAGTCGGCACATTTTGTTCAAGCTGCACTGTTACATCTGCTCAGAACTGCTTTGTAAACTGAGGTATATGGCTGAGTATGCATTTATGGGCTTTTTTGTAAAAATACCTTCCTCTAAGAACTACGTTTAACTTCTGGTTTCTGGTGCGTGTTTTCTTGCAGCAGACTCTTTTGAGAGCATATTGCCAAAAGCCTCACAAACCCATTTGCCTTCAAAGCTATTATTTATAAAACTGAAAAGGAATTCTATTTTGATTAGCTTTATATTCTCAGCAATTTTTCTTAAGTCTACTCTAGTCTGGGACAGCAGCAGTGCAGGACTTTAACGGAGACAGCGAAAACGAAGCACTGTGCGTCTTGATTTATACATTCTGGCACTCGACGTCATAAAACGCCCAGGAATGAAATGCAGAAGCAGCGTCAGAGGCGCTTACACCTGAAATCGCTCGTGAGGCGACTCCAACCAGCTTTTTCCTTGTGTGTGACCTTCTGTACCGGCCATTTTATCTGTGCAGCTACAATGCTGAGTAACTGCTGTGCTGCAGGGGTGGCTTTTGAACTTCCAGTCGATGTGCGCTTGTGAAACTCCTGTCAAGCTGAAGTCATGATGCAACAAGTGCCCCCCTGAACGCATTTCCTAAGGTATCTAGTTAATTTTCATTGATCTTCCAGTAAAGTTAAGTTTCAACTCAATTTGTCCTTCGTCCTTCATTTTGTGGAGACTGACGCTGTGAAATTAAGTAGCAAAAGAAAAAACATCCAATAAATTCCTAAACAATGGGCTCCCCCTGAGGAATACAGTGGCTGGCTCCTCAGGTTAAAGGGAAAGGAGAGTCCAGCTGCTCTTCCCCGGCTCAACCACCCGCTCCAATTTGGCACTAGATAGTTGGGTCAAAAGCTCCCATTTATTTCAGTTTCCCAGAATGCATCGTTCTGAAGTATCAGTTATGATCCTTCTTGTGAACATTCAGTAAACCAACCTGTGGTAGGTCAGGCACAATGACTGCCGCCTGTTCCCATCTTAGTCTGGAAAAGCAAAACCATTACGGGTAACTTAATTTGCTTTCTCAACAAAGAACTTGTTTTGCTTCAACAGTAACCAATTTGTTAGGAAGTGTCTTACCGATGTATCTACTTCTGCTGCAATATTTAATTCTAACACACCAGGAAAACCTGTTGTCTTACAAGCACCGTAGGCTGTTTGTGTGCCAATAACTGTTTCCTTGTGCTGGGATAAGGAGCTGCCTAATCACAGCGCTGATAATTCAGAAACAGACTTTAGAATGGAGAAGTGCAGGTTTATACTTAGAGTCATACCAAGTTTGTAACTATCAAAATATTTATTGGAAATTATAAAATTTAAATAATAGCTATACATTATGTACACACAGCTACAATTTTAGAAAATAAGGTTTCATAGTTGACAAAGGTCGAGAGAATGTTCAACTACATCAATACTAGAGTTTTCTTGAAATCCAGACTTCATTCTCTACACCTTAGTTGCTACATCACTTCATTCAAATGCAAGCACAGCACTTTACACACTGGAGTTCGGGTACACTCCTTCAAATAAATAATTCATAAATACAAAAACTTCAGACTGGGCAACAGGGTTTGACCCTTTCCTCCTCCTTCCTCAAACTTGGGAGCATTCTTAATGCAAATGATTGTTATTTTACCTCTTCTCTTTCTAAGTAACACACACAAAAGTTGTCCTTACTCAGGAGCGCCATGGAGTCTCCACTAGAATGCCAGGAGAGGGACACGATCTGGAAGTCACCTGCAGAAACAGATCAGAGTTTGTCAGCAAGAAGCTGACAGTCCCTCCTCTTGCTCTGGGAAAAGGCAGCTGGAATAAGTCACACCCATTGCAAAAAACGCCCTCCCCCCCTGGAAGCCTGAAGAGGGCGTTCGGTTTTGTCCCTGCTGCAGTGGAGCCAACCTGGTCTCCAACACCGGGGTGCAGCCAAGCTGCACTACACTCTTGCCCCCACGCCTACGGTTACTTCGTGCCCCCTGTACAAGCACAGACCTTGTGGGCTCGTCATTTTAACACAGACGCCACAAGATTGCTCACCGGGGCAGAGCTGCGTACCCCGAGGGTACTGCTGCTCCCTCTGGCGAGAGGAAAAAGCTGAATCTTTGCCATTTCTTTTGTGTTTAATACACAGAAAGGCATTTATGTGACCCAGCTAACGGCCTCGTGTCGCTCACTGCCAACCATAAAACTTCTCGTCACGCAGGCTGAGTTCAGGTTCAGGTACGTTCTCTCTTTCCACATCAGATTTACCACGTGCATTTTGTTCCCGTTAGTGTTTTGTTGCAATTTAGTTGTTTTCAGAATACCCCAGAACATTATAGCTGTTTCAGTCTTTATTTCAACACTTGGCATTCTGCACAACTACAGTTCCTACGTAAATAAACTGGTAAGAATATAAATCTTGAGAATTCAACATACCCTACAATTAAAGCAACAATTAAATCACTGCTAGCCCCTGTGCTCCCTACTTGATGTACTTTACCATGTTTGCTATGTCTCGTTACAAACCCCTCTTTTTTGAAGATGGAAAAACCTGGTTTTGAAAAGCTCCAAGAACACACCTGAGCTATTCAGACGATAATGCTGGGATCAATTTATAAGTGGAAAAGTATTTTGTAAATCAGCAGCGGACGATGGCTTGTGGAGGGTCCTGCGGGCGGCCTTACCTTCCAGCGGCACCTGCACTGACACGCAGCCCGCGGGGGACCACAAGTAGACTTTGCTGTTTCCTGTACATACAGCAAGTCGAGGCTGTCGTGGGTCCCACTGGAAGGCCTGGACGGCACACAGCTGCTCCAGCACTACAAACAGTTTCAGCTTTTGGATGTCCCAGATCCAGACAGCGTTAGGGATGTTATCTGTCAGGAAAGGAAGAGGTCATCATGTCAATACCTCAAGGATAAAGAGACCATGCTTTTCTTTTTTTTTTTTTTAAAGAAACGGGCAGTAATTGAGGTCCTACCCAACCCAACCCAATTAGGCACCCCACAACAGGGTTCACCATCACTGGTTTTGTCTAGCAGTGCCTTCAATTTTGCCTCAGAAACACTGCAAAAAGGATTAAGACGTGACTTTGTACTCCAGTCCTTCATTGGCTTTTATCAAATCGTTCACAATTACGCTGCCATTGATGGGTTTTGCACCCAGCCATAAACATCCCTTCAGGACCATCGAAGAGAAGATTAAATGTGAATCCCATGACTCACTATTTGAGGTAATCAAAAGCCCCCCCCCCCCCCCACAGGTTGTGAAGCACTCTGCCTTTCAAGGGACAGGAACGTAAACGGAGGAGGAAAGATCTGTGTATTTCGTTTTCTAATACAGTGAGCTCACATATGTTTGAAGACATGTAAAAAGCACAAAAATCCCCAAAAAATTGGCATTAAATACACAGCCAAGACCGAGCTAACGCACTGATAAGCACTCCTGGCAGCTCACAACAGCCTACACACACTGGAAGACACAGGCAGAATTTCCTCGGTAGTTACACGTTTGCCCAAGGGAGAGCTGATTTTCAACAGGGCCATGAGGCTTCTCATCGTGCAAGAGAGCTGGCCCGTTACTGTCCTCGTTCCCTTTAATTACCAACACACCACACACAGCGAGCAGGTTTCCCCTTCGATGCAGGGCAGCAGGAACTCACCGTTTTTGGTTGCCAGGAAGCAGTTGTCGGGACTGAATGCTAACATCCCAATGCCCATTTTGGGATTTGCCCTGTCAGCAACTGGTTTGATGTATTGTAAGGAAACTGGCACCTGGGAAATGTCATCTGGAATTTGAAATAAAAGAGTACTTTACTAAGCAAGCCTGAAAGGGCAAAACAGTTAAACTCCAATTGTTAAAAAAACCCCTCATCTCTGAAGCGACAGGATCCTATTTTACACTTCTCTAAGATGTTCCAATCAAAAACTTCGTTTTAAGATACTGCATCTTCATAAAACCAGCTAACTATCCTTGCCCTTCTACAAAAAAAGAAAGGCTGGAAATCCAGGCAAGTCTGAGATAAACTATGAAAAAAAGGAGACACCAAATTTTCTGCTACCTTTCAACTAGTATTTCAAACAAACCCCAATGCAAAACAAAGGAGATTTACAGCACCACAAACAATGAGACCGTAAAAAAAAAGAAAAAGAAGAAAAAATATTAATTATACATTGCCTGCCATCTCTTCAGTATTTCAAAGCCTGTTGGCTGGAGGCAAGTTTAAAGAGCATTGCTACACCATAGCTAACTACTTCTTAGACAAAAGCCAAATGGCCTTTGTCATGCTCTGCTTTCTTACATGACCTCATACCTAAGGGATTCCTCACTACCCTAAAGCAGACAGCAAGACTGTAACACCTCCCGATTTATTTTTATTTTAATTATTGGAACTGCCGCACAATAGGATAATACTCTTAATTGCAATAGTTCATCCGATTCTTGCAATTACCTGCAACAGTTAAACTAGGTCATGAAAAAATATTGCGTAGCTCAAACAAATCAGAAAAAAAATCCACACAATGTTAACACAACTTTCGCAAGCAGCTCCAAGACGGAGATCTGGCGGCTATCTCTACACCCGAGCAGTTACAGTCCTTTTCTACAACACCCCGCTAGTCTCTGCCCTGCCTTCCAACCAGCAGCCCCGCTAGCAGGGTGCTCACTGCCCTTGGAGCGCCTCAGCTAACTGGGAGCCTGGAGCAGAGGGTCCACAAGATCCCTTCCGCTGTCCAAGAGGCAGAGTTCACCTATAACGTTTATTTATAGAAAGGCTTCAGGTGGCAAACCAGTGTCTCATTTGAGGAAACTTTGGCTTACATTTGCTTTGTGTGCTGAAGAGAGAACTAGCCAACGCTCTTGTTGGAGGGAAAGAAAGTCTCTCTGTTTCAACAGATGGGGACTTCTCCACTTCTTTATACACAATCTACAAAGAAACAAGGGAAAGTTCTACAGAAGGGCCTTGGAGAATTTGTCCACGGGTTATTACCAAATCATCCACATCCCACTAACTCCTTTGCAAGGGTATTATATCTCAGCACCCTCCAGTTCACCAGTGGAGGAAAGGGCTTCAGTAGGCAGCTACCGAGTCCAGTGTTCTCAGAGAATCATTCGCTGTGTGGAACCACGACCAGGAAAATGCTCCTGTGACAAATAATCTTGAAGTCTGAAAAGAATGAGTCTGCCAGAGTACACCTCATTCACTGCTCCCGAGAGCTAAGTCGGGCAGTACAATTCGTCACCTGCACTACGAGGGGAACACGGATTTCATTTTTGCAACACAGACTCTTTCATCAGATACTACGATGTATAAACACAAGCAAAGTGCAACACTGCAGGAGGAAATAGCAAAAATATTTTAATAGTGTGCCACCAAGATATTACTCCCCAACGCCAGTGCCAGGATAAAAGGCACCAACTGCAATTCCTGGCTGCACAGGACAGATTTACAGAGCTATTTCCACATGTTTTCCATTACATGTTTTACACCTGACTGGAAGTAGGGGCATTTTTCAGTTGTGAGAAGTTTTGCTGAGGTGCATTTAATGGCTCATGCCTTGCTGCTGGTTAAGAGGCATCACCACAGTCACGCGAACATCGCAGACTCGCAGTCTACCCACGCAAACTCCTCCAGGACGTCTGTCCGGACGCAAGGCTAGCCCCTGCTCCGCAGCGGCGTGCGGCACGGCTGCACTGTGTGTTCTTTTTACCTTGACTGAGGAGAACAGCTTGTGATTTTTGGAACAAAAGCTACAGCTCTCCGCCTGCTGCCAACTACCCAGCGTCTGCTGGGCCTTGCAGATACACGTGTGCAAGGATAAAAATAAATGATGACAGATGTTTGCAGGAAACGCTCTTTAGGTGAGCTGGACGAGCTGGTACATAACAAGATGCAAATCTGATCACAGTCCAGTTCCAATGCTGCTTAAAGTCACAACTGTATAAAGCTGAGACAGGTCTCTGCTGTCAAGTTTCCCAGTTTGCCATCATCTGCATCCCCAAGTCTGTAACGCAACCACCACATACACCAGAAGACACTGGCATATGACAGAAGTCATCTGAGAATCTGTTAGTGCTAAAGCTGAGAGGGTTGTAGGTGTGTATTCCATCAAACTCAGAAGGATTCCTCCATTTTTCTTCTATTCCCAAATTTTCATGCAATTTCTCAAGCCCTATTTACACACTAGGAGGGGGGGGAAAAGCAAGGTCCCCAAGATGACATGTATTTACTAGCATCTTTCAGGTCAAAGCACTGCCAATGATGGAGTGGATTTTGGATCCGTACTCACAGTCTTGGTGTTAGCAATGGTTGCTGGATGCTCAAACTCTGTGATCTTCTTCCAAGTTACGTGGTTCAAGATGCGCACCTAATTCGAGAAAGCACGGCAAGGCAAAACTGTTAGGACAAAGTTCTGCAAAGGGTTTAGAGAAAAGAAAAAATAAACCGATTTCTTACCTTTTCATCATAGCTGCCAATTGCCAAAAACTGACTGCTGGGACTCCAGGCAATGGATTTTACGCCCAGCGACCATTCATAAGCCCGATACGTGGAGAGCAGTCTGCCATCAAGGGAGTACAGTAGGATTTTATACTGAAACATAAATACATCAATCCTAAAGACTAACACCACTGTTAAAAGCCGCAGACAGGTGAAACCATTCCTTCCAAACCCTCCCTGCTTAAAGCGCAGCAAGCTGAACACAAAGGGCATGGTCTCTCCGCTGGGACCCGAGACAGGAGGCTCCAGGCTTCCAGTCTGGCTCTTTTGGCACTCGGAGCACGTCCACCCTGTCCCCAAGAGCACAAATGCCCCACTGGGCCTGAACAACGGCCCATCCAGCCCAACACTCAGGAGCAGACGCCGTCATGGAAGACTCGTGCTCCTTCAGCATCTGCAAGCCATCTGATCAGGGGCGTTACCGCCCTGCCCACTCCCAGGGCCACTGGTTTTGGTCATGCTGCCCGTAACCTCAGGGCCACAGGAGGACACTTTTCTGTGCCTACGAGCTCACCGACTCGGAGCAGAAAGGACAGCAATTTAGATATTCCTCGCTAACTTTCTGGATGAGTACTTAACTGTAAAAATTACTGTGCAGCGCAACGTAAAGTAAAATGGCAGAAGACTCTTATGGAAGAATTCTTTCATTATTTCAGTAGTGGCTTCTGCAATGTTTACAATTAAACCCTCTTTGAAGATAATTGAGAAAGCAAGCTAGTAAGATAATTCGTGGTCATTAAAGATTTGCGTAACGGTTCGACATACACTTGTCAGAAAATCCATGACCAATGTGACTGTAATATTTTAAATTGTTTGAGTTCAGCTTTTGTTATGTTTAAAAGAAAAAACAATTGTAACAGTAGTTATTTTAGTTACTGCTTTATACGTGGCATCTACAAACCAGCCTGAACTCTCCAAGAAAATAATCTGCTTTTTCCTCATACCTCCAGACACGTATCCCACACTGCCAGAACACAGCCATTAGGAGCCCATTCAATCCCAAACAGATCTTGCGTTTCGGTGTCAAAATGCTGCCCCCAAAAGAGAAAAAAAAACCAAGACCATTTGAAATATTATACTAACAAACACTGTTGCATCTGACCTAACACAGTCCTCTGTTTTATCCTCCTAAGTGCTACCACAAATACAAAAGAGCCTTTTGTTTGCTAGCGTAGAAACAGAAATTTTTTCTTTGGGAATAGCACGCTGCATTCACTCTTTAGTTGGTTTCCTCTTTGCAGAAAAGGCAAAGTTGCTATACCTTAAAATGAACAAATTCTTATGAATTTTCCATAAGAAAACAACAGTAGTTACACTGAATCAGTCAAGAAATCTAGCCTAATTCCTTGCCTTAGAAAGACCAGTACAGGATCGTTAGGGAAGAGCCTGGGAACACGACAAGCATCCAGTGCTACTTCACAAGTTTTGCCATCAGCTTCTAATGAGACTCAGAATTCCTCAACCAGAGGTGACCCTATGTACTACAGACTACTTCTTAAGGGGTTTTGATTTCTCACATCCAACACGCTAACATGCATCCTTCACAGCCTAGTCTCACTGTTCAACAGAAAATATGGCAATTTATATTGTACATTCCAAATGTTCGCTTTTTCAGGCATTTGGTACTTGCATTATCATTAGTGTAGCATAGTTTCTTGTAAATGACCTCATGCAAGAATCTAAGGGTGGAACCTCTGCCTTCCATCAGAAATTCCACAAGCACAGGTAGCAGCCGTTGGCCTCCTGAGCAGAACACGGCCTCGGCAGTATGTCTGCGGGGCAACGGAGGGGCCAGATGCCGGGGAGGAAATACACTGGCAAGTCTAAAACCAGCTGAGCAAAGCGACCGCGCCTCAAGCGGCGTGCCACAGATGCTGTGGTCCACGCAGAGGCTGGCAAGGGCGTCTCTTACTCTCAGTAGCTGCCAGTCGCTGCACACGAAGATGCTAATGAAGTCCTTGCAGTCACGTCTCTCTGCTACTGCCATGTAGCGGCCGTCCTTAGTGAAAGCGATCCCTGCCAGGGAAGACACAGCCGGTTAAAAAGAGAGGGAAAGCAAGCCAGAATAGCTGGTGACCCTTCAACAAAGAGCAGCGACTCCCAGTTCGAGGAGAAGCAAGAAGAGAATGAAAAGTATCTCCACAGAAGGTCACATTAATCAAGGCAATGCAGACTGTTACTAATCTGCTTGTGTCAGCACTTCTGAAACTTTGAGTGTACTATTGCTAAGGATGCAGCTCCCCAGCTACTGCAGAACTTCAGCATGCTTCCAAAAACCACGTTCAATTACTGACAGAGTTGTTACATAAACCCCACAGATTCCAAATAAACAGTTCGTTCAGTCTAGCTCAGTGGATTAGTTATGTGACCACTGGTGCTCCACCACCTTCCAGGCACTGGTCCCCATCCACTCCTGGGTTACGTGTAACAGAACTGTCTTTGCCACTTGCGGGGTGTCACCACACACAAGCCCCAGGCAGGAAACTGCTGACCACAGCCCCGGGGCCAGGCAGGCCCGGCACGAGCTCCCCTTTCCGATCTTTCCACGGGTAAAAGATGGCAAAGGCCACTTTAGCGTTTGTCAGCACTGATGCACCCAGCTTAATCTCATGTCTTCAAGGACCCTTCAGAGGCGAACACAACCAGGCTGCGTTTGAAGAACAGGCACACAGGTCAGGTGTGAGCCTCTGTCCACAGCCCGAACGCGACGCGCCCAGGGCACAGCCCGACGCGCAACAGCGGGCGGCACACAGGGACCGATCTCGGAGACCCGCACCCCCGCGGGCGAGCTAACCCCCCAGCAGGGAGGGTGCCAGAGCCTCTGCCGAAACAAGGGTTTCATCATTACACATCAGATTTATTTTCCCTTTCTGACACATTAAAAAAAAAAACCCACCATTCCTGTGCGAGATCTGCGACACTTACCCTGCTGACAAGCTTTGGGATACTTGATGTAAGAGACAGATTTCGTACACAAGGACCACACAGTTATCCGCAGCTGCCACAAAGAGAAAGAGACAAGGAAGTATTTGCTTATTGTTGTAGATAAAACAAAAGCAAACAGAAACCCATCAACCTAATTCAGCAAAGCAGATCAATATTCCTTCTGTGGTTAATTAAACTTTGCAGCTATTCCGTGTAGCTCAAACACAAAGCCCCGCGAAGTAACTCCCTCCAGTTAGCGGGTTGGTTACTCCAAGTTAACGTTACAGTCACACTGAATGCTCTGGAGGGGTATGCGAGATGCAGAACACCAGTACAGATAAAAGCTCTTCATTAACACTAAAGTTACTGATATCAGCACGAATCCAGCTACACGATCGCCGATGTATTGTACATAGACACTTTTCAGTTGGAAAAACACAGTTCCATCGCAGAGTCTGGAAGAGATGAGAAGTTTCTTGCATTTACAAATGAATGAGAAGTTACAGTGGCTCTTGGGACAAGGCTGCCAAGTATGGAAATGTAGCTGTATCTGTCAACTTTTAGGCACCCTCAGCTTTGACAGCTAATTTACATTTTGCTCTTCCCTCCTCAGCCGCCCACGAGAAGGCAACACTACGTAATTACTAAGAATTAGAAAAGAACCGAAACACGCCATGCAAAGCAAGGCATGAAACATCACGTTTGGGGTACTTCTGGAGGCTTGTGCATCCATAAAACACCCAAACTGCAGAGAAGGCAGTCAGCTGCAAAACAAGCCTCTCCACAGCCCTTCAAGGTCACAGCCTGCATTCTGGAAGCTCTGCGTTGCCATCCGCAGATTATTCAATTAAAAACAAATACTTACTCTCCCTTAGCAACGGCAGCCACCCCAGACATGTGTGCATTAACCAGTATGTCATGTGAACCTCTGCATTTCGATCTGGAGCGAGGAATGTTTCCAGTGTGGGTTGTTTGTTTTTTTTTTCTTGTGTTTTCCTACATTTTATTGCACCAAGGTAAGAGATTCCAGAAGAGATGCAGGTGAAACTATTCCTGCAATAAAGTACCGCGGCCATAAAGCTGTCTTTCCCAGAACTACTGAACAACAAAATTACTTCTGATTCATCATCTAAGTAAAACTTAGCACTGTCTAGCACCTTGTCATCCTCCTGCATCACACGCAGACCGTCAGCATCACCAGCAGCCTCGGGAGGAAGCTTCTGCCCCACCTCTCTGCACGTTTGTCCTCAACGCACATTTCCCTTCCCTGAAGTACGCGGGTCCCTGGTGATGCTACAGGCCGCGTTGCAACGGAACTTGGAGGTTTTTTCATTGCTGACACTATCGTTTTTGCTAGAAAGCACGATTCAAGTGATTGACCTGGTGTTCAAATGGAGCTTTGGAATCCTAATAAATGCTGCCTCTCTCCAGAGATACGTGGAGTCCCAAAGCGAAAGAGCAGCATTAGCTGTTCTCCCTCCTGCCTTTCACATACAGAAGAAACTTCTGAAATCACTTTTTTTGTTGTTTATTACAGGAAAGAGCACAACCAGGTCAGATTCCAGTCTGCTTCTACCCAAAGGCAGAAAAGATACTGGACCACTATTTCATGCCGTGTTTATTATTCTCTTCCTTTATTTTACAGGGATGAAGCTACAGCTAGACATCGACAGCACCACCTTTAAGTTTAGCAGGTCCTAGAGGAATCCACAAGATGAACAACATTAATCAGGTTTTATCACTGCGACTGCTCACTTCCAGACACACAGAAACACAGCATTGTTAGCCTGCTCTTCACGCAAGATTTACTTTAAAAATACCAACACAATGCCTACTCGCATTCCTCTACAGCAACTGCAATGGTGACATGCTGCTCGCTCCTATTAGTTGTGGTGTTAAATGTACTGGCTGCTGTTCCTCCCCCGACCAAAACACGCAGCATCCACAACACACATTCTACAGCCACTTAATACAAGCTTAGCAGCTGCAAGCTCTGAATGCTGAGGTCTGGATCGTAATTTTTCCTGACAAAGGCACCCAAGTTTACACTTGTGCTGCTACTCGGCCTCACAACCAACTCCCCTGGCCTGCGGTGCCTCAAACACACTGCACTCCTGGCTCAGCGCCTCGGAACAAGCAAAACCTCACCGCTTGCATCGAGCTCAAGTACATCGG